CCCCAAAACCCCAAAACCCCAAAACCCCATTATTCATAAATAGAGTTAATTATAATTTAAGGATAATATGATTACATAATTTGCTAGAAATAGTTCATGAAAAGCTTGCAATTAATCTCGCTAGTATTAAAGTCTGGATCCAAATCTTTTAAATAATATAATTATGAACAAATATACTCTAGTTTTCGCAGGATTAGTTGCGCTTTCATCAGCAAACTTAGGCTCCGATTGCTCCAACTTTAATGGAGAAATGGGATGCAGAAGTGGGCAAATTGCCACCAACCCAGATGACTGGGCTCAGAGATCATTCTAAACTTCCCTTCCTGGTGATGCTTACTACAAGCCAGAGTACGAAGGACTCGGGAGGATTGTGTGCTACAATTCAATATTATATAAGAGTGATAAGAAATCAGCTACTGTTGACGTAAGATGCAGATAACATGCATCAATCACCAAAGTAGAGTACAACTTCAATAACCAAGGCTTCCAAAGCAACAATCAATTCCAAGTTGATTCATCATTCGGTGATGTGCTACCAGTTGTTGTGAGAGGAACTGATGGTCAAGGATAATAATACTCTATTACCCTTGAACCTTTGAATTTTATTTGGCAAGGTGCTCCAATTAATCAAGGTCCTCAATACAAAGGAGGCCAAAAAGGAGCTATTGTTGAAATGTTCGGATGGCCATACGCTGATATTAAGCAAGAGTGTGCTTTCCTTGGCAAAAGTGGTTATATGGGAGTCAGAGTCTTCCCACCTCAGGAGTCAGTCTTTTCATATGAATGGCCTTAAAACGGTGAACTCAATCCATGGTATTTCTACTATCAACCAGTGAGCTATAAATTAACTGGTAGACACGGATCTAGAGAGGAGCTGAGAGACCTGATCTAAACTTGCAGATAAGCTGGTGTAAGAGTTTATGCCGATGCAGTTGTCAATCATATGAGTGGTGGTGGTAATGATGTATGGCCATAACACAGAAATGGAAATGGAGGTGGCTGTGCTACTTGGGGACCTAAAATTTCAACAGGTTAATCTCCATACTATACCCACAACTTTATGTTCCAAGACTCAAACAACACTGGCTTGAGACCAGGTCTTGAATTCCCATCTGTTCCATACAACCCAACTGACTTCCATTGTGAAAGATCCTTGAGCTCATGGAATGATCCCTTCCAATTGAACAATGGATGGCTCTCAGGACTTGCTGATCTTAACACTGAGTCAGAATATGTCCAAGAAAGAATCGCCTCTTATTTCGTTGACTTATTGAGCATTGGATTCAGTGGTTTCAGAATCGACGCTGCCAAGCATATTCAACCTAAATCCTTGTCTGCTATTATCGCAAAATTCAAAAAGAACCTTGGAGGTGGAGACCTCCCAGCTGATTTCGTTACTTGGCTTGAGGTTATCATCGGAGGTGAAAAAGATCTCTTGATGTGCGCTGATGGTGACTATAACTTTGGTAAATCATTTGCTGGATTCATGGCTGCTGCTGGACTTTCAGATAACGATATCTACAAGATAAAGATCTGGTCAAGTGACTATCCAAAGGAATTCCCAATCTGCGGCTGGGTCATCCCATCTGAGAGATACGCCATTCAAAACGACTGCCACGACGACCAAAACCCAGGCTCTTCATCAAGAGATATGGGCGATAAGGGAAGCGTCCTCGTTATCCAGAAAGATGTAAACAGGCACAGAGAGTTCGAGAAGCAACTATTCACCAGAACCGACGGTAACTGGCAAATCAAGATGGTCCTCTCCTCATACACCTTTATGAACAACGGAGCTATGGGTATTCCAGACGGAAAATCAGACTGCAGCAAATGCGTTGGTAACCAATGCAACAGTTGCTCGAAGTCAGTTCCATTCAGCCAAGCATACAAGGCTGATTCATGCGGTTATGATTGCAGTGAAGGTGGTAGCTGGTAACAAGGAGTTTATACTAGAGTTCACAGAGACCCCTAGATTGTTTAAGCTATGAGACAATGGCAAGGACTCAGCCAAGTTAATGATGCTCACAGCCTCGGCTACACAGCTAACTGCGCATCCCACTTTGAAAATACTTTCCTTAACGTTATGCAATGAGGTCATTTAACTGATGTCTTAATCAGTAAATTCAACTATATTCTCTAATTTCATCAAAATACTTCATATCACTATTCAAACTCTCATATATAGCAAATATATAAACCAAATATCTTATTCGTCTGATTAATTCTGTTTCCATCCAAGAGTCATCTATAAATATAGTCTGGGGTTTTGGGGTTTTGGGGTTTTGGGGTTTTGGGGTTTTGGGGTTTTGGGG